GAAGAAGTTTGATTATGAAGTGGAGCACTTAAATTTTTTTTTTCGTGTTGTCCTATTTTTATGTATTACATAGTTGGTACATATTTTAAATATTGATGGAATACAAATTACGAGGTTCCTTATTTTTTTATAGACTTTAAATAAGTTTGTATTTTGTTCTAGGTCGAAAACGATATGGAAAACTACGTGAAGTACAAAACTAGTTGGTGGTCCCCTTAAACTTAAAAAAAGATGTTTTGCCTCACAAGTTTGCTTGTCAAAATCGGTATACAGAAAACCACCAAGATGTTTACTATCAAAACTAAATGCCAAATCTAGGTCAGAAACAGTTGCACATGCAATTGCCACTATTTCACAAGAAATTGAGCATAGATATGTTGTCGATCCTGTTACTACTCTTGATAATAATATTGACATTGATCCCTTGCCTGAAGAATATATAACTACGCTTTTAATCATAATAATAATGCGACCCCTTTTCTATTAATATTGAAAACATCTGATTTTTAGATAAAATCATATTTTTATACACCGAAGGTATATTTGTAGTAAATTTCTTTATAACCAACAGGAATTTTTTTTAACCATAAAAACCTCAAAAAGGTTAGGGTGCACTTAAAAAGAATAAGAAAACAAAACTAGTTAGAGGCAGATAGTAACTTACTATACTATTATATTACTTTATATTATTATTTTAGTTAGTAGGTAGGTAAGGAATGTTTACGTATTTTTCAATTAGCAAATGAAATTATTACTAGAAATAATTATTAGAAGTATTAATGTAATAATGGGTACCTAGGTTATAAAAATATTATCTTATTTTTATGCGTATTTCAGCCGTGACAAAATTGTTTTTTAGAAAATATTCCGCCACCATCATGTCACGGACTATTGAAAGGTTATCAGAAACCCTTCTTCCATCATTAACTACTTAAAAACACCAGAGCGCACGAGGGCAAACAACTCACCCACGAAATATTACTACAAACGTATGATCGGCGCGCTGGAACGGTATAGCGGCGCGACCGCATGGAAACGATGACGTCACGCGCAACTCGCGGGCACAGGCGAGATTTTAAAAATCTTCGTAAACTTTCCACGTTTATGACTTCGGAAATAGTGCATCGATCGATGTGAAATAAAAACTAACATTATGTGTTTGGTCTAGACTTTTACCTACGTACTTAAAAGTCTAATTTTGTAACCTTGTTATCTTCTCCATTCATGCACTTCAAAGAGCACTTTAAAAAAGAACGGCATAGTTCCAACAGTTTTAATACCTCACACCTTGATAGCCTACATAAAATCCTTGAATCGGACATATAATGTTACTTCATTTATTGAAAACAACAGAACCTACAAACGATTGAAGAAATTGACTAGTAGAACTTTTCACACAGCCTTTTGCATTTTACTAAATGTACTTATCTAAGCAGTAGTATGTAAGTTAGATATTGTACTGATTATTATTACGACGCATAGCGCAAACCGGCGATATGCATCAGGCAATGAGAAAAAAAACAAGTAAACATGATTGATATATGTATCTTGCCATGCCATCACATTACGCGCAAAGCAAACTTTGATGTTGCTTATTTAGTCCAAGTTTGGTAGGAAAATATGCAAAGCCCGATATAACATATATTCAATTGCTCTCAAAATCGGGACAAATCCCGCACAAATCGGGACAATTGGCAACACTAGCTTATGCTATCGGTGTGAATTAACACGTACGCGGGCTGTAGCGGGAAAAAGTGATATGTCCTATCGTTGGGAACACCCGGAGCGTACTGAATCGGACGGCTTTTTTTTAGCGCCCGAAGCAATTGGAAAGGGCTACTCTTTATGTAGGGAGGCGGAAAATGCATTACGCATACCACGATAGCCGGTCTATCGTGGTTATGAGGGACTCACTGCCTACCGGGGGAGCTTAAGTGATACCCTCTAAAAACCGCCTTTGGAGACTGGCAACTAGCTGTTTAAACTTCTTATGCCGTATCGGAAGCGACCCTCTTTTGTGAAAAGAGGGCGCAGGCGAGGGAGGAGTGCCTACGAAGGCAAATTAATTATGAATAATTTAATTAGAGTTGGCCTGAGCCGCCAGGAGGCAGTTTAGGTCGTTTGACAGTTTATTAGGCGGGTCCGAGTGAGAGTTTCTCGGCCTGCGGACTCGATAGCGAGAGGGGGGTGGGGCTGCATAAGTAGCTGCCTCACGAATATGATGATTGGAGTGCGACTCTGAGCTTTGAAGAAGTTCTAAGAGAGTTTTTTAAGAAATTGTTAAATTGTAGGGAGCTCTAGGTCCCGATGAAGGTCGGCATTACGGACGTACCAAGGTGCGTTCGCAGCTCGACGACAGAAAAGGTTTTGAACTATTTGGAGTTCATTAATAATTTTAGGGTCGGCGTGGGCAAAAATGGGGCCCGCGTAGGACATGACTGGTCGTATACATACCTTACAAAGGGTACGCTTGTTTCTGAGGGACATTTTACTGTGACGGCCCAACATACTGTTGAGCCTACTCAGGTAAGAACGTGCGTGACGGGTTACTCTTTTGAAGTGGGGTCTGAAAGTGAGCCTTGTGTCTAGAGTGACACCTAAATATTTGGCAGACGTATGCCAGGGGATAGGGGTCCCTAGCATACGTATTGGTGGAGTGTTATTGAGACGGCGTCGTTTATAATCGAAGTGAACGACGGAGCTCTTCTCCGGGTTCACATCGATGCGCCATTTTTTGAACCAAGCTCCTAGGTCGTCAACTAACTTTTGAACCTTGTTCCGTATGAAAGGTAGCGAGATACCTTTACAGTAGATAGCAGTGTCGTCTGCGAAGAGGGACAGCTGAACACCTTTCGACGGGATGGGAATGTCGTTGGTGAACAGGATGTACAGCAGAGGAGCAAGTACTGAGCCCTGAGGGACACCAGCTTTGATAGGGCGCTGTGAAGATAGCGTGCCTTCGTGTCTAAAACGAAAGGTACGATGCTTTAGATAAGAGGCCACGAGACGTACTAGACGATCGGGGAGACCTATTTTGTATAACTTGTAGATAAGGCCTGTATGCCAGACTCTATCAAAGGCTTTAGCTATGTCGAAAAAGACCGCGATGGCGAAGGCAACCGTACCGTCGGGACGGGAGAGAGGAGGAGTGTGGGTGATAGCGTCTATGCGGAGGGCTCTAGCAATCTGATATTACGCTGTATGAGATGGAGAGATATTCTCCATGAGTTTACTCTTCGAGGTCTCGAAATTCAGAGAGGCGGAAACGAAGTTCTCGTTGAAGACAATTGGCTGTGCGCCTATATTCGGGGGTGGGATATTTTGCTGCTCTACGGAAAGCAGCTTTCTTGGCTTTCAATAGGTTGCTAATATGTAACGGACGGCGTTTGCGCGTGATGATTTATAGTATTTTTAAAATAATCATATAAAATAATTGACTAAATAAAACGAGCAAACTTTTTTTTTGATATTTAACATTACTTGTATTTATTCTTTATTCTTTTATTCTTTTTTTTTTAAAAAACGTTACCCCTACTCTAGGATTTTCTCCTGTATCGTGGGGGCAGTTTACACACATAAATTGCACAAGGACAAACATCCAGACCCGGAACAATTATTGGTAGGCCATACAAATACTTGTTCCGTGCGGGATTCGAACCCGCGACCCCCAAGCGCAGCCACTCATTGCTAAGCCACTGCGCCACGGAGTCGTCATTTTGATAAAATAATTAAAATAGATAAGTTTATATCCCAATGACATTGAAGTCGACAGTTTTGGTGATTTTATAGTATTGTTTTTTAATATTAAATCGAAATATTGTCGTAATTTAAGCTTTGCTATACACTAAAGACTATATATTCTATTATAATAATGTTTAAAATAAAGTATGTTAGCTTATAATCATGGTTGTATTCCACCTGAAAGATAACTCTGACGCATATTTTCGTAAAACTATGATTTTCCGTTGCAATGTACTAAATAAAGACTTTATCTTTCTAAATCCGTAATTTTCTGCAAATAATTTGCTCACATCGTTACGATATCACCCTTGAAAAAACCCTAACACATGAAGTTTTCGACGCAAATAGCATATGCCCTCTTAATTGTGTTAGCAAGAGAGCAAGTTTAACATACGCTCTCACATATACCTTAACAAATAACCTCCTGATGTATGTCCGGCATCTGAAGTGGGATAAACTCCTTTTCAAACAAATTTCATTCAATTTCAATTTCAGACAAATTTATACGTATGTATTATATAAAATATGTTACTATTAAATTAAAGCAATTAATTAACCTTACTACTAAATAGGATAGTATGTGATAGATAGAGATAGTAGATCATTGGAAAATAATATTAAACGTAAAATGGGATGTAATGTGTTTATTTTAAACAGCAAATTATAAAATAAATGGTCGACTTTCCCCGACTTTGAATAGGTAGGCAAGGCAAATTCATACCTCTACCGACTGGCTACTGCTTAAGGTTAGCATCTAAGGCTGCGATCTACAGGCCATACTTTGACTTTGCGCAGACTATACTTATGAAAAACTAAGCTGAGTATATGCTCAGTTTAACCTTTGATTCCGAATTTATAGTTGTATCGGGCTAAGATTAAGCTAAGCTTATAAAATTCAAAAAATAAATATTTAAAATTTGAAAACATGACAAGTTACTTTACATTACCTAATTTAGTTTAAAAAGAAAAAAACGAGGCCGGGTAGTCAACCCAAACATTAAACGAATTGTTGGGTAAATTTTTTTTTTTTTTTTATTTATTGTTTTTTTTTTTTTTACCTGTTTGCAAACCAAGGAAAAAAAAAAAAAAGGAAATTTTTTTTTTTATTTTTTTGACTTAGGTTTAGCTATGAGCGCACTCAGCACGGCTTCAAAGTTATACGTATAAAGTTGATCAGAAGCAAAGTCTGTGCAAAATGAAAACAAAACTAAAGTAATCCGTTGCATTCTAAAAACAGGCAGTTATTATAGCACAATGAATCATTTTAATTTCTTTAACAATTCTGTTGCCTCCTTATTTGCTTGGTGATCTTCATTTGATTTAGCTGGGTAACTAGCAGCTAATTGAAGATAATACTTAGCTTGATCTTCCTTATTCAATTTTAGGTAACAGCTACCTAGTCTCAATAAATTTATACTGTAAAACCGTGGATGAACTGATTCGGCTTTTAAAAAATATTCAAGCGCATCTTCATAGCTGGACTTGGGAAGGGAATAAAACAAAAGTTCTGTTGTTTTTCTTTGATGCCAAGGCATTTCAGAAAGTTGATAACACCATTCCCCTAGCATGTGCAAGGTTGTTGCATCGTTTGGGTTTAAAGCCACAGCAAACTGAAATCGAAAGAAACACACAGTAAATATTTTGTTCACAGTAAATAATAAAAAAATGGTATGACATATTAAGTATATTATAGTTTTTATATATTGTATCACTTACATCCAGATGTTCCTTTATTTTTTCCAAGTGTTTAATTCTTTCTTTGTATCCTTCAAAACTGGTTTTAGCGTCCAAAATTAGAGCATACCATTTATGAACTGCTGAACAATCCCCAGACTTAGGCAATTCATAAGCAATAATTGTATATGCTTGTTTTATAAGATCTTTTTTATAACTTTGGTCGTATTTTGAATCTTTTGCCATAGTATATAGAACTCGACAAATACGCCAATTAACGTCTACATCATTTTGAAACTGTAATATTTTCAAATTTAGTTCATTTTAAAATTATATTTTTACACACTTAAACATTGTGTATTCTGTTTTATTAAACTTAATATGTTGTATATTATCTCCTTCTTTATATTAGATACCTTCTTATCAGAGATGGGAGATATGATAAGGATATAGAACGACGAGTGAATGCGGGAAATAGAGTAAATGGGGCCTTGCACTCTATTGTGAAGAGTCAAAATGTGTCGAAAAAGGCACGTATGGCAATTCACAATGCTGTGTTGGTCCCTACTTTAACGTATGGTAGTGAAAGTTGGGTGTGGCAGAAGAAGCACGAGAGTAGAATAAATGCAGTAGAAATGCGGTCGTTAAGGAGTATGTTAGGGCTGAATCTGAATGACAGGGTAAGAAATTGTGTAATAAGAGAAGAGTGTGGTTTGCAAGATGATGTTGTGACCAGGATTAAGAAAGGAATGCTTCGGTGGTTTGGTCATGTAGAAAGAATGAATGAGGAAAGAGTGACAAAGAAAATTTATGTTGCAGAAGTGAATGGCAGAGTCGGAAAGGGACGTCCTAGGCGAAAATTTATCGACCAAATTGGCGATTTATTGAAAACGGGCCTAATTAGGAGTACCCTTCACCGACGAGCATGTATGCGTAGGTGTATGGATGTGAAGGAGGCAAGAGAGGTGTGTCAGGATCGTGCCAAATGGAAGTCTGTAGTCTCTGCCTACCCCTCTGGGTGACAGGCGTGAGTGTTTATGTTATGTTATGTATGTACAAGACATCGGGCTTCGAGCCCGATCGACAGAGACAAGTAATGGGTGTCATTGTAAGGTAATCTTTGTGCTCGACGACTTTAGTGGGTACAAAATTATATTACATACAAACTTTATTTCAGGCCATTGAGAACTGTTCAGATATATATACAGGACTGTCCACCTTAAAATTAAGAATCAAAGAGTTAATGCGTTGGCACCCCTAAGGACTAAGATAAACGGCCTCTTTCCAGTAAAAAGTCTCCAGTTCTCTACACTCACCATACAAAACGCAAAAGCATTTTGGTGGTATTTTACGCTAGTACTCTTAAAGATGTGTGGTCCTCTTTCATCGGAGCTGATTTTTAGAAATTACTGTGTGTGCTGCAGCTATAATACAACTGCAGCGTGGAACTACGATTTATAAGTACCTATAATGGTCTACCTTAGTGTTAACTTAAACACATCCTAACCTAAAGCCATGACGTTGTTTGTAATATACGATATAATCGTACGAGATAGAGCCACGCTGCCGCTATATTATGGCTGTAGCATGAATGGATCGGCCTGAACGGGTAAAGGCCACGCACACGCAGAATTCCAGCTCGAAATAGCAGTTTAATGCTGCAGTATTTCGTATGGTGAGTGTAGACAACCATAAACCATATTCACTGGAAACGAGGCATTTCATCTTAGTCCTCAGGGATGACAACGCATTATGTATGTGATTCTTAGGATAAATGTAGATGTCAATGGACCAAAGCATCCACTTACCATCAGGTAGACTGTCTACTCGTTTGACACTCAAATTCTATAAAAAAACTACGATTCAATGTATTGTCAGCAATACTTGAGTAAGAAAATCTTTGACATCTCTTCTACGTACACGACACTCAATAACTTTTCAGATATACGAAAAGTATTCTAGATACTATTAATATTTATTTTACATCTTTTAAAAATATTCTCTATCATGCTCTATACAAAAATCCATTCGACTAAACCAATTCTGAAACACACTTTTCCCAGTCTTGATCTGACAGGTCGGAAATCGCTTCTTCGTAGGCAGCCACGGCTTCTTCGGCGCTTGAAACTTGTCTTTAATTTTTCTTTCACTCTTGGGAAAAAAGGAAATCACAAGGAGGCAAGGAGCTAAGTTAGGGCTGTAGGGTGGGTGACTTAGAGTTTCAACACCAGATTCCTCAATAAATGCTTTTCTTCTAAGGGAGGTATGTGAAGAGGCGTTATCGTGATGCAGCATGATTCCCCGAAACCCGGTCTTTGGTCTTCTCTCTCACAGCTTGAAAAGCTTTGGATAATGCTACTATAGTATACCATTCAGAGTTGACTGACCTACAATTTTTCAGCATTGACGGCGACAAATGTCCGCTCCGCGAAAAAAAAACTAGCCAGCATTTTTTTTGCTGACGTTGCGAGGTCTTTGTAGTTTTGTCGGTAACCGTCCTTCTGCGTAGACCCATACCGATGATTGCCTTTTATTTTCCGGATCATATTGATAGATTCATGTCTCGCCACCAGTAACGTTTTTTGAAACACGCCTAGATGCCACGTTTTCAAAACGTAGACGCATTCCATGGCACTAATCCACACGAGTTTGTTTTTCGCTTTCGGAGAGCAAACGAGGGATCCATCGACAACAAAGCTTCCTCACTCCACGATGTTGATATAGGATGGTATGAATGCTCCCCGAACTAATGCCTACAATCTTTTCCATCTCCGTATATGTGATTCGTGGGTCTTCTCGCACCAAAATTTCAGCAGTACATACATTTTCTGCCGTTACTGCTGTTTGCGGGGCCCCGGTTCTTTAGCCATCTTCAAGGTTAATTTTACCCCTTTTGAATTCAGCAAACCACCTAAAAATTGTTGCGCGTGATGGAGTTGAGCCCCCTAATGCTGATTGTAACCGTTGTAAACTGAATTATTTGACTACACCAAATTTAAAATTATAATAGATCAGCGCACAAATGTTCACGGTTATGATCCATCGTTTTAAATGAAAAGCGCGGGAAACGATGCAGGAAAATTAATAGAACTTAGTTTTTTTTTAATTTTAAACAATTGGCTTATGGGGTTCTATTTTAAATAACTTTGCTTTTTAGAAACATATAACACGGGTGCGTTCCATTTTTAAATTTCGAGCATCTCAAAACTTATTGAGTGACCTACGTATAAAAACTGAGAATTTTTTTAACATATTTCCTATCATGACTTAATAAATAAAATTTACAAAAATATTGAATAATTTTGTTTTACCTTACTTTTAATTAGTGTGTTGTAACAATCTTCGTAATGACCGTTGTCAAATTCCTTGTCGGCTTTTTCTAAGCATATGTTAACATCTTCCTGTATTTCATTTGAAGTATTACTCGTAGATTTTGACCAAAACAAACCTAGTCCCAGTATTCCTTTCCGCATAAACTTGTAATTATTCTTTTTATTAGTCTGTAAAATTGTTAATCATTAAACATGTAGTAAAAATTAAAACATTTGTACAACCTACTTCAATGTAAATAAAATGAGAGCATCATCAATGTAGTCGAAGTCGATTAAATACGCATTATTAAGGATAACTCAAAAACTACTGGTCAGATCTTGATCAAATTTATATGGGACCACATAAGAAGCATCAAATTTCAAACAAAAAAAAAGAATCATCAAAATCGGTTCATCTAGAAAAAAAATCTGGGACAACAACACATAAAAAAGAAAACATACAGTCAAATCGAGTACCTCCTCCTTTTTTGAAGTCGGTTAAAAAAATAATTATTAATACAAAGAATAACGTATGTTAAATCTATACATATAATAAATTTGTAGAAAAGTTGTGTTTGTAATTCTAATATTTTCTGGAATAAAAACAAATTCAGGGGACTAAAGAAAGGGCACTGAATACAAATTAGTGGTTTTTAAAATGTTTGTCTGTCTGTCTGTGTATTAAAGATTCACGCAAAAACTACTGAACAGATTTCCATGAAATTTTGATTATAGGTAGTCAGGGACCTAGAGCTACTTATAGGCTACTTTTTATCCGATTACGGAACTTCAAAAAAGGAGGTTTAAGTATTTTCGTTCCTTAAGATGTAAATTTCTATTTTATACGATTGATGTGTTTTATTAAAATAAATAAAATATTCATAAATAAAGCCCAAAATTAGTTTTTATAGATATAAAACTTCTCTACGGCGTAGCGCAAGTTCCTACAGTGGAAATAACGTAGCCTTCAGGAGTGAAATTTATCATTATAAATGTCTCCGATTTTCGTCATCCACCACACGAAACTGTTGTGTAATAAATTGAACTAGGCCGATAATCTACGATATTATAGTTGTATTCACTTTTTCAAGACAGTGCCATCTAACGTAAAATACAAAAAGTTTTGCCTTATTTGCCATTTTAAAGGTATTTAATTAAATTTATAATTGGTTTGAAAATTCTAATGTAAATTTTTTAGTTTTTGTTATTTTAATTTAGTAGATATAAATCAATTTTATAGTATAGTTCATTTCAAATAGGATGGCAGGATTCCACTTGAGACTTAGCAATTACAGCTGTAATGTTAATCTATTGTTGTGTGATTATTTTATTGCTTTAACACTTGAAGTTAAGCATCTGTTGATAATACTGAACCAGTATAGCTGGAATGACGAATTTTGGTACTTGAACATTGAAACAAATTAAATTGTAGATAAAAAACCTTTATTACTTTTAACTTAACTATTTTAAATACTTATAACAACTTGTTAATGTTTTGTTTAATCAATCACTCTGAAGAACATTCATCGGTATCTGTGTCCTCACACGTATTTATTATAAATGGTTGTATCCGATCCCTCGAAAATTCGTTTTCCACTCTTATGACATGGTCACAAACATTCTTCCAAAAAATGGGATTTGTAGAATTTATTACGTTTCGTACACTTTGGATTACATTTTCCCCTATTGTAGGCGTAACGTTTGACTTACGGACAGTTTTTTTTTATTTGACTCCACATTAACTCAATTGGGTTCAATATACAATAATAAGGTGGGAGTCTCATTATCTCATGACCAGCCTCTTGTGCTAATTCATCGACCACATTTTTTTTTTTCAAAATAATTGTTTTTGACTACTTCCAACAAACTTTTAATTGTTGATTTCTCTGGCACAGAAATGTATGACTTCTTAAAAAACTTATTATGTCACTTTTCCTAGTGTTTGTGCTGGGAATTTTTTCTATTTGTCGGCTGTGGTATTATGCGTTATCCATAACAATCACACTGCTACTGGGAATATTAGGCAAAAGCTGATCAGTGAACCATTTCTCGAATAATCCAGAATCCATATCTTCATGGTAGTCTGCACTAGAGCTTTTCAAATGTTTGCTAGAGATCAGTAAAGCCCCTGGTATCCAGCCCTGTTCACCGCCTGCGTGTAATATTATTAAACGTTTACCCCTAGAACATGGAGCTTTAGTTGTACAACTTGGTGAATTGTCTGTGTACCCTTTTTTTAGAGTATCGTGAGTGTCAAACCATGTTTCGTCTAAATACATTATATTTTTTCGTGCCGACCTGCGTAAACGTATTTCATTAATAAATTTTTCCCTTAGTAATAAAAGTCGGGGACTTTCCATTACAGTTCTTCTTTCATCTAATTTTCCATACTTGAATCCAAGTTTTTTTAATAGTCTCCAGAGTGTAGTTTCTGAATATTCAAAACCAACTTCACTTCTCATCAATGATTGATAAATCTCACGTAACGTTGGAAATCTCATTGTTGAGGTAAAAATTGTAAATAGTCCTCCTCGCATGTTCCTCTGTAAAATTATCAATTCTTTTAAAACTTATCTTGGTCCGTTTACGAGGAAGATGATTAGATCCTGCTGACACTATTCTACAAACAGTTCTTATAGGCACGTTTGTTAATTCCGATGTCTCTTTAATCACTCCTTTCACCCATGCGTTTCAAAAGCTTATTGTAAACACTCAAAACTATGTCTTGAGCGTCTGAACTTAAATGTCTTTTTCTACGCTGAACACTATTTTCATCACTTGTAGATGCACTATTTGATATTTCCCATGGTCGAAACATGTTTATTTGTACGTCTGTGTAATAACGAAGGTACAAGACGACTGAATTTTTGACAACAATGTCATCGTGTATTTAACAAAAGCATCAAAACTGCCACAAAAATACCACGTCAGGATAAGGTCTTCCCAGGTATCGGTTGTAAATACCACTTCTTTTGTTATCGCCTAATGACCGCTTCAAGTACAATCCTGCCATGCTATTTGAAATGAACTATAACTAATTACTACTTAAATAGATAGTAGTGACATCTATCGAAAATCATAAAACTATGGATGTTTTTAGGTTTAATTTCTAGTTTTTCCTTTAGTAGGTAGGTATTAGTTTTTTTTATCTAATAAACTGATAAAAATTGCATTTAGTATGTACAAAACTTATTATCCTTATAGTTTAAATAAAAAGAGTTTCATATAATACGTATTGGTCAGATCTAAGAATTTATAATATCATAAATAAATCGATAATTGAAAGTGAATTGGCGGTATTTCATAAAGTTTAACAGTGATTGTTGACTATATCATGATATAGCTTGACCAAATTAATAAATAGAGATTGTTTGGCGATATTAACAACTAAACACGATATCGCTATTTGTAGATGTTATTGTTAAATCGTAAAATAATTTCATTACACACCGCTAGCGGCAGGGTCGGATTTCGTAGTATAATTATCATAATTGTACCATTATTTCATAGTTTGTAGTACATAGTATCGTAATAATACTAAGCGAAAATACCATAATTTTATCAAAAGTCTACTTGTATTATTATTGGGTCTTTTTACATTTTAATATTAACCCTACGATATCGAGAATTTCTGTATTGTACATGAGTACCTCGTTTTTTTTTAAATAAAATTAGAATTAGCTCCCTTTCTGGTCAATCCATACTCGATCGATGCATTTATGTTGCATCCTTGATACAACTATAATGAGGGGCTACCACGATAAAAACTCTATGCTCCAGAAGCAATCGGTTTGAAAACAGAATTTCAAAATATTTTATGAATCAGATTTTCAAATTCAATTAAGCAGATATGGTTTCTTTTGTGCTCTTTTCGTCTTACCCTTATTGAATATACAATATATTAGGTACCAACATTCAAAATTGAACTTACAATAAGTTCTTTAGAAAAAATTTAACAGAAATAAAAATAAAACCGTCAAAAACGAAACGTATAGATAAACTAGACGCGTGACATCAAAATCCCGGCACATAAGAAAAAAGAAACATGAAACGTCAAACGTGATATAATTTTTTTTTAAATGTTACGAGCTTGAGGTTCGTGACAATAAAAACTACCGATTGAATTACCAAAATTTACACTTTTATTACCGAACACCAATTAAAACTTAAAAAATACTAATAATTAATCACACTGATTCACTTTATTTCGCTCCGAAGCTTCGCTTGTCTCGCCAAATTCAATACTGCCCCGATAGCGGGTTGCAGCGGCTTTAAATACACCTTTTACTCCGAAACATTCAGAATATTCCAGAAAATACGGACGCCAAACTACCAGACGCAGAAAGTTCGAGTGTGGGGCTTCTAGAAAGCTTAATTCTTGTGTTAGATACTAGATGGCGCTGTTGGTCGAAAGATCAAGATTGACATTTTATAGGAAGCCCTCCTCGCTCTGATCCCGACACTAGATGGCGGTAGTGCCAGGTACCTGACGTCAACTTAGGCGCGCAACACTGCCCCCTCCTAAGACATGCTCGTCCCGAGCATTATCGGCCCCATAATAACGCGCCAGGCGATCCACATGAACGATCTTAGGAGTCCCTCTTGCGCCTTTCTGCATTCGGTAGGTTACATCGTTGATTCTGGTCACAATCCGGTACGGGCCATCCCATTTAGCTTGAAGCTAAGGAGATTTCCCTTTGCTGCGGACTGAATTTTGCAACCACACTAGTGAACCTTCGTCAAACCCTTTGTTGTTCATTTTGCGGTCATACCGGGTTTTCATCTCTTCGGACATTTGCTGGCCCGATTGTCCGATGTGCTCATAAATGTCATTCATTTTGTTCCGCAAGTCATTTGCATAATCGGTTATACTGCGTGGTGCGTCAGGTGGTGTCCCGGTGATCAGGTCTGCAGACAGCCGTAATTTTCTTCCAAAGTTTGCGAAAGCTGCTGTCACTGCTGTACTTTCGTGAACAGCGCATCGATATAACAAAAACGGTTGTATGTGCTTGTCCCAATCTCGTTGCCGATTGTCTACAACTTTTGCTAGGTACCTCTCCAATGTCTGATTAAATCGTTCTACCATTCCATTAGATTGCGGGTGATAAGAAGTCGTTCTTGTTTTATAAGTACCCATAACTTGGCAAGTTTCCTGGAATATTTGAGACTCAAAATTCCTTCCTTGATCG